AATGCATATATTTGCACAGCTTTTTGTCTCACACTTCGGTAGGTGTGGTATTTGCAAGTTGAAAATCTAGCGGCATTAACCATTAGGCTCATAGCTCTGTCTGCTGGCCTTTTGGGGCGTGTGGAGACCCAGGCCGGACCCACAGAGGGTCACACACGCATCTGCTGAAGACTCTGCTTGCTGGCCTGACCCAGCCGGGCTGGATTCAAGGTCCACTGCTGGCTGTGTGTCCTTGGGCAAGTCACTTCACCTCTCTGAGCCTCTGTTTGTTTATCTGGAAAATGGGAATAAGGTCCAGAGTGGTTCTCAGGATGAAATGCAATCACAGAATAAGGTTCTGGGATTGGCGACCACACTCTGTCCCTATTGCCTCCCAAGCTGAGACCAATTCCCCTTCCTGGTTCTCAAAGCCTGGAGAGTGGGCTCAGTCTGCCTTTCCAGGCTTTTCTCCCACCCAAGGGAAGCCCTGAGGGTACCCAGGCCCTGGTCACCTGCAGGATTCCCACCCCCGTCTCTGCCTCCACCAGTCCTCCCCACCCTCCCTAACTCACAAATGAGAAGGCACTTCTGGGCAGCCTGCAGCTTTCACCTGCATCTACGCCTCACAACAACCCTGTGGAAAGATAGGAAAGGAGCTAGGAGCCCATTTCACAGGGGAGGAGAGTGAGGTGCAGGGAGGGGTCATGACTTTTACACAAGCAAGTAGTGGAACTGTAGACATTTTCTCCAGGCATCAGCCATGCAAGCCTCAGAACGCTTAGGAAATAGCGCTGGCATTTCACCGATTTCCGGGGGTACGTGTATTGTTTCATTTGTCAAGCACATACCGTTTGCGCTACCCAGGGACCTTCCTCACATCTTAACTTCTCGGAAAGGGGATGCATCTTCCAATGAATTGGCAGTGGACATTCTTTCTTAATAGTATATAAAATAATGCTATCTTTCCATCGGTGGCATTTTCAATTTGATGAAATAAGGTATTATCCCCATTTGATAGCTGAGGAATTGTAGGCACGTGTTATGGATTGAATTGTGTCCCCCAAAAATATGTATTGTAAATCCTAACCCCTATACCTGTGGTTCAGGAGCCCCAGTGGTGCAGTGGTTAAGTACTCGACTGCTAACTGAAAGGGCAGCCGTTCAAACCCTCCAACTGCTCCGAGGAAGAAAGAAGTGTGTCAGTCTGCTTCCATAAAGATTACAGCCTTGGGACAGTTCTACTCTGTCCGACAGGGTCGCTATGGATCAGACTGGACTCAGGGCAATGGCTCTGGTTTATACCTATGGTTATAATCCCATTTGGGAATGGATTTTGTTTGTTATGTTAATTAGGCAGTATTAGTGTAAGATGTGTCTTAAGTCAATCTCTTTTGAGATATAAAAAGAGCAAACTGAGCAATGGAAAAGCAAGCAAGCAGAGATGGGGGAAGATAGATGCCAAGCCACATGAAGATCGCCCAGGAGCAGAAGCTCAAAAGAGACAACGCCCTTCCTCCAGATTCAACAGAGAGAGAAAGCCTTCCCCAGAGCCAGCACCCTGAATTCGGACTTCTAGCCTCCTAAGCTGAGAAAATAAATTTCTGTTTGGTGAAGCCACCCACTTGTGGTATTTCTGTTATAGCAGCACTAGGTAACTAAGACAGCACAGCTCTGACTTACGGTCTTGTGATGACCCCATGTACAATCGAATGAAACGTTGCCCAGTCCTACACATCTTCATGATCATCGTTGTGCTCAAGACCATTGTGGCCACTGTGTATTTTGAGTGTCTTCCAACCTAGTAGGCTCATCCCTATGGGACAATATTCTGTTGTGATCCATAGGGTTTTCACCGTCTGATTTTCAGTAGTAGATCACCAAGCCTTTCTTCCTAGTCTGTCTTAGTCTGGAAGCTGCATTAAAACCTGTCGACCATGGGTGACCCTGCTGGTATTTGAAATACAGGTGGCATAGCTTCCAGCATCATAGCAACATGTAAGCCACCACAGCGTGACAAACTGGTACAGGGCGGTGGAGTATGTGAGAGAGGGAGGTTTTAAACCCAGGCCGTAGGATGGGTTTAGAATCTGAGGTCTCGGGTAAGCAGCCTCTATGCCAGCTCCCAGTGCCAGCTCCCGCCTCCTGGTATTCGTGCCCTCCGGTAATCACCTCCCCTTGAGTGTAGGTTGGACCTTGCAGCTCCCTTCCAAGGAACAGAATACAAAAAAATCTATGGGATGTCGCTTCTGAGATTAAGTTCTCAAAAACTTGCCTCTATCTCGCTCGCCACCTCTCACTCCTTGACTCGCTCTGACGGAAGCCAGCTGCTGACACGTGTGAACTGCCCTTTGGAGAGGCTCATGCGGCCACGGTCAGCAACCAGCAGGAATCGAGGACTCAGTCCAAGAACTCACGAGGAACCGAATCCTGCCAACCACCACGAGGGTGAGCTTGGAAGCAAGTCCTTCCCCAGAAGACCCTTGAGGTGGCTGAAGCCCCTTGATTATAGCTGAGAGATCCCCAGCCAAAAGACCCAGCTGAGCCACGGCAGGTTCCTGACCCACAGAAACTGTGAGATAATAAATGAGTGTTGTTTGAAGCTCCTAAGGTTTGGGGTAATTTGTCACTCAGCAATAGAAAATTAATGTTGTTAGTTACCGCTGAGTCGGCCCCAGACTCATGGTGGACCATGCACAACAGAACAAAACGTGGCTGGGTCCTGAGCCATCCCCAGGATTGGTTTCAGACAGGACTTGTGATCTGTAGAGTATTTGTTGGTTGATTTTTGGAAGTAGATCATCAGGCCTTTCTTCCTAGTTTGTCTTGGTCTGGAAGCTCTGCTGGAACCTATCCATAGCCACACGCAAGCCTCCACTGACAGACGGCTGGTGGCTGCTCATGAGGTGCATTGGCCGGGAATTGAACCCAGGTCTCCCCCATGGAAGGCATAAATTCTACCACTGAACCACCTCTGAGCCCATGTCTCCAATATTTGACACCAAGTATTTACTGTGTTGGCTTCTGGGGACACAGAGATGGAAACAATGCTGTCCTTGCCTTTGAGGGATGCCTAGTCTGGTGGGGAAGGAATGTGTGTGTCATGAATGGCATCATGAATATTAGGTGGGCTGGAGAGGGGACTGCCCACCTCACCCAGCCTGAGCAGGCGACCGGGGTAGGTGCCACTGGACAGAGTCTTGAAAAGTAAGAGAGGGCCATGTGAAGAAGGCAGGGAGCAGTAGGGAGGGAAGGAGGAGAACACATATTTTCTCCTGGTCTGGAAAGGACTTTGGAAATTGCTTTAAGTTTGCGTGCTTGGCAAGAAGGTATTCAGCAGCTATGTGGCTAATGCAAGAGCGGTGATTCACCTGCCACCTCTAGAAAGTTCAAGTCAGCAGGCTCCCGGCTCCGACGTGAGGGCTGGGGTTTATGCCTGGTGGGTGGGGACAAAGATTGTGTAAGGGTTTGTTGCTTTTTAACCAGGGTCAGGGTCAGCCTGTGGGTTAAACATTAGTGATGAGGTTAGGGTTGGGATAAAGAGGACTGAGTGCAGATCAGGGTCTGGGGACAAGCTGTGGCCCCTTTTCTCTGTTCTCCTCTTCACAATGACCCTGCCTTAGCCCCTCTGGCTGGGATCTGGGGCCAGCAGATGTTAGAGACCCTCACCCCAGGAAGGCCCAGGAATTCCGGTGGGGGAGGAAGGGAGGGGAGGAGGGGCAGGGCTGGGATGAGCTAAGAGTTGCAGCCAGCACTTCCCTGACCCCAAGCAGAGACACCCCCGTGCAGCAGCCCAAACATGGGGAAGAAGGACTCTGGCCTTCCAGCCCTGCCTCTGCTGCTGCTGCCCAACTAGAAATGGGGCAGGAGAGCAGAGTGGTTGGGCCTGGTCTTTAAAGCCAGGCTGACCAGGCTTGGCGGAGCCCCAGCTCTGCCACTTATGGGACACACTCTCCAGCCTGGTGTCTAATCTCTCTGAGCCTCAGTTTCCTGACCTGTATAATGGAGCTAATCCCCACCTCACAGAACTATCACAAGGCTGAAATGAAATACGTGAAGGGCTTAGCTCTGAAACCAGTAAGGGTGCTCAAAAAAAATAATTACTTAAAAAAAAATAAAAAAGGACCAGACGTGTGAGGTCTCTTCCAGCAACTCAGACTCCATGAGTCCGGGGAATCTGCTGGCCTGGCCCACAGCCCCTTTCTCAGCTTTCTTAGGGCAAAGAGCTACAGCTGGTAGTCTTGCTTTTAAAGGTGTCCACATTCATGACTTCATTTTCTTTTCAACCACGCCCATTTTACAGATGAGGAGACTGGCCGAGAGGGGAAGAGACTCACTCAAGATAATGAATAGCACCAACTCACATTCACTGAGTGCTTGCTGGGCTCAGCATGGCCCGTGCATTATCGTAGTCAATCCTCACAACAATCCCCTGAGTAGTTGTCCCTGTTCCAGATGAGGAAACCGAGGCACAGAGGGAAGAGGCAACGTGTCTGAAGTCACACAGCTGCTAGTGATGGGGCAGTCGGTCCTCGGAGCCTGAGCTCTTAACCGCTATGCTGGGCTGCAAAATTAGGTGCAGAGCTAGATCTGGCAAAAACGCGGGCCTCCCGACTCCCAGCCTGGAGCTGTCCTGTTCCTTGAAAACTGGTGCCTGTTTTGCTCATTAGTCCTCTGCGCTCAATGTTAGCAGAGTGGTTTCGACAGCCAGGGCTGTCTTCAGGGGTCGGGTGGTCAGGGAGCGTTGCCTGGAGGAGGAGGACGAAGAGCAAGAGGTACTATGATCTGGACCACTGGTCTTAGCCCTTTGCCCCACAAGGTGGGTTGGAGGTGGGGAGGTAGGTTGACTCAGGATGTATCGGCCCATGTGGCTTGCCCTTTGGTTTTATGATGGCCACCTCAGCAGCGCCAACCTTTGGCCCCCAAGTCAGCTCCCATCAGATGGGTGGAGATGCCGGTCCATCTCAGAGGCAGAGTGGCTTCTTGAGGGGAAGGAGCAGTGCTGAGTCTGCACCTCCAGAACCATGGGGACAGGACTGCGAAGCCAGTCTCTGCGAGGACCTCGGCCCTCCTATGGCAAGCTTCGGGAGCCCTGGGGGAGGCCCCAGGAGGGCCGGCCCCGCCGGGCACTGAGCCTCAGACAGGGGCGCGAGAAGTCCAGGCCCCAGGGCCTCGATGGAGGCATGGAAGGGCTGGACTGTCCCAGTCAGGAGTGGCTGCCAGGCAGCCTGGGGGACGCAGATCAGCTGATTCAAGCCCAGCAAGAAGGCCGCTGGCGGTGGCTGAGGCAGTACCAGCAGGTATGGCTGAAGGTTGAAGGATGGAGGCGTGCTATAGGGACAGGGGTAGGGGACAGCTGGAGCAGCAGAGGTTCAGAGGTAGAAACCTACAGGGCCATGTCCAAGAAGACAATGGGGCTGTGCAGAGATGAGGCTGGAGAGATAGATACAAAGGACCTATAATTCAGAGGGTCCTGAAGGCATCTGGGGTTTATCCCACAGGCACTAGGGAGTCGTTGAGGGCTTTCCAGCAGGGGACAATGTGGTTGGAGGTACTTGGAGATCATTAATCCGGCAGTATGTTGCAGGGGGTGGATGACGCCCTGGTGGTGCAGGGGTTAAGAACTCGGCTGCTAACCTAAAGGTCAGCAGTTCAAATCCATCAGCTGCTCCTTGGAAACCCTATGGGGCAGCTCTACTCTGTCCTATAGGATCGCTATGAGCCGTAATAGACTCCACAGAAGAGGGGTTTATTTTGGAGGGGTGGATGGAGCGAGAGGCAAGGTGATCAGCCAGTATAACCTCCCGAAAGCTACATCGTGCATCTTATCCCCTCCCCCAGGGTGAGGGAGAGGCGAGGTCTGGACCCCTTTGGTGGGAGCTGCTTGCTTCTGGCGCTTCCCTCCTCCTTCCTCTAGAAGAAAGGGTCGTTAGTGAATGGCACTTCTCTCTCTGGGGTCTACCACCACCTGGTGGCTATAGGTGGAATAACACCCCCTCCGCCTGGGGGACCTGGTCCCTTGGCCCTGACCTCCCCACCCGTCTCCCAGCAGGTAAGAAGAAGATGGGAGAGCTTTGTCGCCAGCTTCCCCAGTGTGACCCTGAGCCAGCCAGCCTCCCCAGAGCCCCCACTGGACACCACGAGCTAAGGATTCTGGGAGTGGTGGTGGCCCCTTCTGCACCCAGAGGAGACCCCATGTTGGCTGACCTACGTTTTCACAGAGCTTCTGGACTGTGGATGCGGCCACCTCCGCCACATGGACTGCTCCAGCTTCCTCCATGTGGCCCGAGGAGACCTCTGCCACCAGCTCACTTAAAGCCCTGTGTGGACTGCACCAACTTTCTGGTGCTCCCACCCCAAGGCTAGCACTCCACAAAGACCCCGACAGGACTGAGAAGAAGGGGGCTCCTGAGGGATTCTGGGCATGGAGGCCCGTTGGACTGTGATGCGCATGAGGGCCTGAGAAGACTGCCCAGAAGTGGGGGTGCTGATCTTTGCCCCCCGCCCCAAGACCAGTCGTAAATGTCCAGGACAGAGCTCGGTGAAGCCAGACCCACAGCTGAGAGCCTCTCAGACATCACCTGGTCGCTGGACCATGGCCCACCCACCCTTCTCCCCAGCTGCTAATGGTGGGCAGGGGGATTGGGTCTCCTTCCCTGATGCGGAGCCCCTTGAGGGCAAGGACCACATCTGGGTGGCCTTCAATGCAGGGCACTCGGTACATTGTCATCTACCATCCCCCCAGCACCCTGATGAAGAAGCAGGGAAAGCCTTGCACTTTCCATGTGACAGGTGGGGAAACTGAGGCCGGGGGAGATTTATTGTTTTTGGCATCTCTGGCCCCACCACACGTCCAGTGCCCAGCCTGGCACTGAGCACAGTAATAAAGAATTGCTGAGCTGAAGTGACCAATTTGCCTCGAGACCAACTTGTTGTCTCAGAGCCTCTCCCGAACCTCATGGGGGCATCCTGGGCCCAGATCTTCCAGAATGATGGGGCAGGGGCAGCAGGGCCAGGTCCCTGTGGATACCCCAGGAGGCTGGGCCTCTCCTGCCACTTCTCTTGACCTTACTCCCGGAGGAATCCCCACCCCACCCTGTGCTGACCTCAAGTCCAGCTCTGGAGGACTCTGCCCTCACCACCGCCCTGTCTTTGTGCTCAGCCCACGAGGCAGGTCTCCCAAGGCTTGCTGAGGGCCACACAGCAGGGGAGAGTCTGGCCCCGAAGAGCATGAACTCTTTGAGAGACACTGACACTTGATGTGTGGTCCCTGGGGCTCTCCTGGTTCAGGCAGGCCCAAGGTCAAAGGCGAGGGAATGGTTCCAAGCATCGTATTCTGGGGTCATGGGGACCTGAGTGTCCCTGGACAGAGGGTGAGCTCCTTGTTACCCAGAGCCCAGCACCCTGGCAGAGCCATTCAGGAACAGGAGGGGTCTTGGGAGAGTTTTACCCCAGATAGCCCCTGGGACCAGAAAATGAGATTCTGATTTGGAAACTGGACTGTGGGAGGCAGCCAGAAGCTTCAAGCCCTTTGCTCTCCAAATCTAGATGCCCCCTGCTCAGCCCCCCTTCTGCAGTACCCCTAGGGTACCTGTGGGGAACCCTAGGATCCAGGGGACACAGTTTGAGTCCACAACTCTGACCAACCCTTTCAATGTCCAAAGGAGGAAACTGAGGCTCAGAATGGGGCAGGGCTTCCCGTCCTCCAGGTCTCTGCTGTCAAGGCTCAGCCTGGCCCCTCTGTCCTCTGAGACCCTCCAGCCCAACTCCCTGCCATTCTCCTCCTACTGACTACGCTCTGTAATGGGTTTGTCTAGTTATGTGCTTTTCACTCCCACTAGACTGAAAGTTCTACAAGGGCAGGGACCTGGTTCACCACTGGGACCCCAATGCCTAGCTCTGGGCCTTGTGCACAGTAGGTGCTCAATAAATTACTGTAAACAAGGGACAGGCCCAAGGTCACCTAGTGAGTTGATGACTGAGCTGGGTCTGGCCTCCTTGACACCACTTGGGGGACTCCACGCAGGCAGAGCAATTCCTACCTCAGCCTCATCAACAACCCCACTGTCAGGGAGCACATCTCCGGGGCCCTTGGCAGAGGCCTCTGCCAAAACACACACACACATACTTCTTTCGTTTACACACACACTAGGGTAGATTGTTTCCAAAGATGGCTAGAGCCATCCTTCCTATCCCTGTTGCAATATGTCTTGGCCACACCTCCCATCAGGAGGTGGAATCTGTTTCTCCTCCCCTTGAATCTGGGATGGTCCTGTGACTTGCTTTGACCAATAGAATGCAGTGGATAATAATGCTCTGGGACTTCCAGGCCTAGGCCTTAAGAGACTTTGTAGTTTGTTTCTGTCCTCTTGGAAGCCAGCTGCCATGTAAAGAAGTCCAGGCTATCCTACCAGAGAGGCCACATGGAGGAGAACTAAGGCACCCCAGCCAACAGCCACCACCAACTGCCAGTCATGTGAGTGAGGCCCCAACCCAGCTTCCAGCTGATTGTGGCTACATGAGGAACCCCAGCTGACACCATGTAGAGCAGAAGAATCACCCAGCTGAGCCCAGCCAACCCACAGAATTGTGAGATATAATAAACCCCAGGTACTTTATGCCACTAGATTTGGGGGGATATTCCTTTCCTAGGGCTGCCATAACAAGTTACCACAAATACTGGGTTTGTCTGCCTATGAAGAACTCACCCAGTGGGTGGACAGGCCACTGAGGATACCTGGGCCTCTGGCCTGGCTCTGTGACTACTGCATGCACAGGTGCCCCCTTGAGGCTTGTTTTCCTCATCTGTCAGAGTGGGATGACAACCTTGCACTTTGGAGTGGGGTGAGGTGATGAGAGGAAGCTGAGCTGAGCCAGAGCCACAGCCAGGGCCAGGTTCAAACTTATGAGAAGGATCAAGTGTCAGGCAGCTCCAGGTGGGTCAGCTTCCAAGCCAGTGAGCAAGCAAACCTCTCAGAGGACATCCCCACCATCACAGGTGCTGCGTGTGTGGGGACCTGACTCCCCACGGAGGACTGTGATGGTGGTGATCAACACGGCCAGTACAGAGGGGTCAGCCACCAGGGCCAGAGCCCCTCGTCTCTCTCCGAGCTGGTCCACCCTTAGGCCGGCGTTTGCCCTGGGTCCGCATAAAGACAGCCTCACGGTGTCTTGGTTTTATGCTTTTTCTTCTACATTGGCAGCCCCTAGCGGACAGAGCCACCCTCTCCTCTCCCTGCCATGGGGTCTCAGCACCTTACAGCCAGGAACTGGAGAGGGCCTGAGACCTCTCACCCCACCCCACTGGGCTCCCCTCATTCTCTCCTGCTCAACATCTCTGCTACATCCAGCCTCTCCTTGACTATTTCCAGGACTGGGGAGCTCACTACTTAGCAGGCTCTGATCTTTACACATGACCTTGCCCTCAAGGAGCCCACAGTCTGGCCAGGGAGGCAGACAGACGAACAGACAGACAGATGACAGGCTTCTCTGCCAGGAAGCAGAGTGGAGTCAGTGCTCACAGGGGTGGCGTGGTGAGGGAGACGTGACGTAGGCCCCAACCCCATCCCTCTGCAAGGCTGAGGAAATCCTCCCCAGTGCCGACCTGCAGCTCTGCCAGGTGGGAGGAGGCTGGGAGCAGATGGAAAAAATAGCCCACAGGGGAAACACAGCCGCAGGAATGGGGAAGCAGCAAGGCAAGCAGAACGCAGTGTGCCCAGCGCCTCTCGGAGCGAGGCCGCTATTCTGGCCGGAAGGGCCTCCCTCAGCGTCCAGCAGATCCAGCCCATCTATTTCACAGATGGGGAAACCAAGACTCCCACACAAGCCAGTGGTAATGCAGGAACTCTCGCCCAGAGCCTCCAGCTCCCAGCCCAGAACTCCCCACCTCCACCGGGTGCCACAAGCCTCTTTCCTCAGAGACACCAAGCTCAGCGTGTCGGGCCAGTCAGGGAGCCAGAGAGGGGCCAGGCCTGGGGGTCAAACCCAGGTCCAAGCCCCCACCTTGCAACTAACTTGCTGAGTGGTCTTAGACAAATCGCTACCTTCCTCTGGTCTTGATGCTCTCCTTGGCAAAATGCGTATCACGCTCTCTGCCTCTCCCATGGGCTGAAGGGCAGATGAGATGCTGAGTGGGCAAAGCTTTGCAAACTGTAGCTCAATGTGTCCTGCAAGGGAACATCATCCCCACTCGCCTCCTCACCACCCTCATCATCAAGCTGGAGAACAAAGCAGGTAAATGCTCTGCAGCCAAACTGCCTGAGTTTGAATCCCAGCTCTGCCACTTACTAGCTGTGATGCTGGGCAAGTTGCTTAACCTCTCGGTGCCTTGGTTTCCTCATCTGTTCAATAAAAATAGTAACAGTCCCTCCTCAGTTGATCACCTGAGTGAACACATGTGAAACCCTTAGAGCCCAAGCCCTCAGTTCTTAGGAGCCTCTGGCAGGATGCTGTCCCTGTGTGACCTTGGGCAGGTCCCCTCTCTGAGCCTGGCTCACTTGTCAAGCTTGATCAGCCTTCTCTGGAAAATGGGATGCTAATAATGGCGCCTGGCTGGGGCATCTAGTGGGGATGAAGCCGGCCCAGGCGCACGCAGTAGTGAGCCCAGAGCAGCCCCAGCGCCGCCTCCCTGAGAACATTCGTGACTGGTATGTCCTCAGCTCACCTTGGCCGGCCAGGCCTTGGCAGGGCTGTAGGTGGTCAGGCGGGGCCGTGAGGATCCGGGAAAGCAGGTCCAGTCACAGAGGGGCACTCTGGAGCCTCCCATGGGGTGGTTTCTCCTGCAGGAATGGGTGTGGGAGGAAGGCTGTCTCCCCCCTCCACTCCGACTTGGCTGTCCCTGAACCCTCCCTGCCCCACCACAGCCAGGCTATGTCTCCTTCCCAGAGCACCAAGCACATGCAGTCAATTCAGCCACCACTTAGCAATGATCACTCAGAGCCCTGCTCAGGAGAGGGCTTAGAGAGGACGACGTCCCCACCCAAGTCCCCCGAGTGACAGCCACACAGACAATGAGCACTCCAGTAGCTCTCTCAGGGTACAGATGTGCACAGAGAAGGGCGAGCCTGGCTTTAGGTGTGGGGATCAGAGAAGGCTTCCCTGGAGGAAGGAACAGCAGGGCTGAGGGTGGGATGCACAGAGGTGCCCCGG